CGTGATAATAAGCTACCACTATATATATATATATATATATGTCAAACTATTAAGTTTTACACTCTTTTATAGTCATTGGATATAAATAAATGGATGACTTAAATAAATCTTTTATAACTCATAAAAAATTCCCAAAACTTGCGGTGAAATAATAACCCTTTTTTGTTTTTACCATAAGCTTCATCTCTTTCCTCCTTTTTCCCTCCTTTTTTTTCAAACAGAAAAATCAGTCGACAATTTTTTTTTCTTTTTGCCATAAGCTTCATCTCCTTCCTCGTTCCCCTTTTTTCGGACATAAAAATCAATCGATAATTGGCAGGCATGTAATTGTTTAAAAATTTTAAAAACCTCTTTTTTCTTTTCACTATAAACTTCGTCTTCTTCATCCATCTCTTTTCGTTTCAGACAGAAGATATCATCCTTATTGAACCTAATCGTTCTTCTTTTCTTAGTTACCATTATCTTCATAAATTAAAATGTCTGTAATTGTTCATAAATTTTAATCTTTATTCTTCAATTTTGTATTGTTTCATTTGTATTCCTCTTTTAGTTTCCCCATTTTTTCTCGAAAGTGTATAAATGGTATGAGATTCGATAAACGAAGAGAACTTGAGAACCTTGAATTATATAGAGAGAGAGAGAGAGCTTGAGAACCTTAAATTTTATTTGTTGTTTTTCTAAGTAATTTTGACTCTGAATTCTTCCAAGTTATTTCTAAGTTTTTGAATATAATTTACCTATATAGACAAAGAACTTGGGAACCTTAACTTTTATTGTATTGTTTTTCATAATTAAGTTTTTATGTATATAAATATCATGTTTTATGTGTCACATCAATAAACTATGCTCTATATTAATTTATTTTTATGTAATTTTAACAGGTTAAAGAAATGTTATCATTAGTTGATACCCAACTTATTGGTGATGATCAAAATATACAAATGAGGGAACATGGTGTCACATAACATTGGTAAAATTTCCAATAAGCTGTTAAATGATCTCATAGTCTCACATAGCCATCAGGTAGATCATAGAGGGGGAACCCGATCATCAAATAACAATCAGTACAATACCCGCTCAATTGAAGCATTATTTCGATCTTATATAGCAGTCAAGCCAAGCTTTAAGGATATCTGTTGTATTGTACTAATGTAACTATACGTGCATGACTGGGGCTCAAGGCCGCCAAGCACCAACAATGCCCCAAGAAGCCAATTGGGGTAATCTAACCACACACTAGTGTAGCTCGACAAACAAAGGTGAGGTCATCCCCTCACTAGCTGCTATCTCGCTCGTTATCTCATTTAGAACGTTATGTAATGGTTTATTAGTCTGTTACTGTTGTTAATTTATTAAGCTACTCTATTTTGGTCATTCTTTACTTAAGGGCATTTTAGTCACTTCTATCTCTAAAGAGGTCTATATGCAGTTCATGATATTACGATGATTATTGTGTTTACTGGTTGTAATGTTAGCTAGCTCAATACTTGACTAGAGTTCATTTCTAGATAGCGACACTCTAGTCGTTTTTATCGTACTTCTCCTCAATACCCATTGAATTGGGGAACAACTTATACGTTCTCGATTCACTGATGTTCTCGAAGTACATGATTTCACTATTACACAATCTGAATTACTTATCAGACCGCTTGTCGGTATATTCTCTACAATGATCATTTTTCTTAATTATTTGATGCGAGCTTGACTGAAGATACTTTAACGTATTACACTTAGTGTGGCTACTTCGGTTGTAACCCACTCCTATGAGTGTTTCTAATATCTTTGGTTATTTATGTCACTCACGGAATAAGTCTCACTATTATGGGTTATCCTTAACTCATATGGGTCTTAACGAGGTCAAATCTAACCATCTAAAATAGGTAATATTGATACTCTACGATACCATATGGTCAAGTATTGATACCCGATGAGTATCGATACTAAAAGTGGCTTTTGTTTGTTGAAAATTGGCCTAGTATCATAACCAAGTACCCTTAGCATCGATACTGTAAGGGCAATATCGATACTCCCCATAGCAGTATCGATACTCCCAGTTAAATTTGCCCAAAATTTGACCAAGTTCATCTAGTATTGATATTGTTCATCCAGTATCGATATTCGAACCCAAAAATATCTTATTTAAGCCGAGAAACACCCAAAAATCACTCTAAAGGTCCTAGTTTGGTTCCTAATCATGTGCTAAAGATTTAGGAAGTTACTTAGGGTCATACAGTGGCATAAAAATATATGTTTTATGCAAAAAAAATGTCATTCAATCATAAAATTAAGCATAAACCCCAAAATACTCAAATACTCAAATCTAAACAATTTATCATGCTTATGAAAGCCATAACACCATAAAAGATTAGAAATACACTACCTTGATGTTAGGATCCCGAAATGAAGCTCCTTTGGCTAGCCACCACTCTCCTCCAAGACTTGGATGATAAACCCACCACTTTTTCTAACCAAAACACGAAAACAATTTTTTGAATCACAAAAAATATTGTTGGAAGGTTTAAGGATGGATTTGAAGATTAAACCATGCTCAAGGATTTGCCTTTAACTTATGCAGCATGGGGGAGGAACAGAGCCATCTTGAACATTTTCGGGACCCTGAGCGAAAATAAAAAATAGGCCCTGATTGAAGGAAAATACATTCCATTACTTTAAACAACTAATTTAATATCGTAGAAAAATTATTAAACTTTTTCGAACATCAATTTCATTGTTTTGTTAAGAAAACACCTTAAATACGACTAAGAGAATAAAAAAAATCAAATGTGGGTATAAATTATGATATGGAGCTTTATTTTGAATAATAAATTAAAAAAAATAAAGAATAACATATTATGTTATCGTTAGATTGAGATTGGAGAAGACTAAGAATTAAAGAATATTTGGTAAATTGAAAAATAAGATTTGTAAAAAAAGAGACAAATATGATTAGATTTAATTGGAAATTAAATGAATTAACGAGAGAAATGGAGAAAGGGATTAGAAATTAAGAATTTTATGAAATTGTAAAAAATTAGAGGCCTTAATTATAAAGATAGAAATCGAGATTAAAAAAATAGGGCCCTCAATTATAAAGGTATAATTGAGATCGGAAAAACTTAGGGACCTCAATTAGAAAGTTAGAAAGTGAGATTAAAAAAACTTAAGGGCCTCAATTATAAAGTTAAAAAGTGAGATTAAAAAATTAGGGGCCTTAATTATAAAAGTAGAAATTGAGATTGAAAAAACTTAGGGGCCTCAATTGAAAAGGTAGAAAGTGAGATTACAAAATTAGGGGCCTCAATTATAAAGGTAAAATAAGGGATTGAAAAGAAAATTAGAGACTTCAATTACAAAGATAAAAAGTGAGATTGAATAATAGTAGGACCTCAATTATAAAGGTAACAAATAAGATTTTAAAAATCAATACCTAATTATAAAAATGGAAAAATGGGAGCCCCAATTACAAAGATGAAAAATGGGGGCCTGAAAACAAAGTGATGAAGTGGAACTAAAAAGATTAACTTTGAGAAAGACAAAGCTTCCAAAAATAGTGGAAAATGTCCAAGCTGAATACGCTAGTGCTGACGGATTGATGTGTGAAGTACACAAATTTAATGTTTGGTTGATTACCAATTTTACATTTCTCCTATTCCATTTATGACAATTTGACCATAGAAAACAATTTAGCTTCACTAATATATCTTCTTTCAACAACAACAAAAAAAAAAAAAGTGTGCGTGTTTACGATATTCATTAAGCATTGGTGAACGGTCTAAAAAAATTATATAAGTACGCATCATTATTAATTTTTTAAATACTTTGAGGTCAAAAAAATTATATAAGTGCGCGTCATTATTAATTTTTTAAATAGTTTGAGGTCAAAAAAATTATATAAGTACGGGTCATTATTGATTTTTTAAATAGTCTAAAGTGAAAAAAATTATATAAGTACGCATCATTATTATTTTTTTAAAATAGTCTGAGGTGATTATAAGTAATATTTGTTCATAATCTTTCTTAATCAATAATAACACACACTCTAGACATAACTATTTGAATCAGGTTTCAAATCGCGGTCGTGGTCGTGTTTTCGGTTATTTCGGGATAACCGTGATTGCGGCCGTCGCGGGCGCTATTGCGGGTGTAGCGGGTAACTCGGACGGCGACGAAACTGCTATATCGCAGATGAAATCACGTTTTCGAAACGTTTTTTGAAACCCTAGTTTAAACCTAAGACTTCAAGGAAGAACAACAATCTCTTTTAACTATTGAGGCCACTCAATGGGTTCTATATCGTTAACTATTTAAAATTCCATTAAAATTAATCAATAAGTATCTTTAGTAAGTATAAACTCGTTATTCAATACAAATTAGTTCATTTAAAATAAAAATATTTATGCATCCACAAACCGGGATGGATACACGATTTTATGTTAGAGGAGGAACTTGTAAAATTTTAGAGGAGGACGAAAAAATATAATAGAAAATACATAGAAAAAAATTTAAAAATAAAAGAATTTGAAAATTTTAAGGGGTGACTCCCCCACCCTCTAATTCGATCCATCTATGTCCACTAGTGTTGTTATATTTGAATCAGATTTTTGAAAGGGTAATATTTGAATCACATTATTTGTCTCCATTATGTTGTTGCTAACACATACCATAATTTTTGTTGCTAGCAAATTTATCTATCACATTGATTCGCTTATAATAAGGGTAACAGACAGAAAATATTAACACATTGATTACAGACCATTTAAAATTTATCCTAATTCATGCACTAATTCAAAAAGAAATCCTAATTCCTTAAATATAGAAAATTAATTACGAAAATATGGCATGAAATCCAAGATTATCAATATAAAAATTCTGGTCGTTACTCGGGAATTTATTGCCTAGAATCAGATTACATAATTTCTATTCAGCAAAATTAATGATAAAACATATAGGCCCCTCTATAAATTACATTGAAAATCACTGTAGAAAGACAATCAGAGAAAATGAATTATCAATACTCTCCAATATTCCCATTACTTACATTAGCGTTATTACTACTATCATCACCTCCATGTCGTGCAACATCACACTCTTCTTCTTCCGTCAACAATTTTCTCCAATGCATTGCCAGCAAATCCGCATTGTTGCTCGAATCAGTTTACACCCCTTCTAATCCCTCTTTTGATCTCGTTCTCCGAGCATTAATCCGAAACCGTCGGTTCTTGACGCCTCAGACGCCGAAACCGGTTGCGATTGTGGCTCCTACTCGTGTCTCCCATGTCCAAGCTACCGTTGTTTGTGCGAGGGATACCGGCGTGCAGATCAGGATCCGAAGCGGCGGCCATGATTACGAGGGCCTATCGTATAGATCAAATGTCACGTTCGTCATTCTTGACATGTTCAATCTTCGATCGATTAAAGTTGTTGTTGATAAGGAGTTTGCCTATGTTCAAGCCGGTGCGACACTCGGTGAACTTTACTATAAAATTGCTAATCAAAGCAATGTCCATGCCTTCCCTGCTGGAGTCTGCACTGGTCTTGGCACTGGTGGTCATTTCAGCGGCGGTGGATACGGTAACTTGATTAGGAAATACGGGCTCTCGGTCGATAACATTGTTGATGCTCTAGTTGTTGATGTCAAGGGAAAGATCCTCAACCGGGCATTGATGGGTGAGGATCTTTTCTGGGCCATTAGAGGAGGTGGTGGAGCAAGCTTTGGCGTCATTGTCGCATGGAAGATCAAGCTGGTTCGTGTTCCAGCAAAAGTGACGGTATTCAACGTGCCATTCACATTAGAACAAGGCGCCACCGATGTCGCCTTCAAGTGGCAACAAGTTGCACCGAAACTGCCTGATGATCTCTTCATAAGACTACAACCAACTGTTGTAAACGGGACTATAGTTGTTAAGTTCATCGGTATGTTCCTAGGAGAATCCAATCGACTTGTTCCACTGGTGAATCGAAGCTTCCCCGAGTTGAATCTTATGAAATCAGATTGTAAAGAAATGAGTTGGCTCGAATCGATTCTTTACTGGGACAATTTCCCTCCTGGAACACCGGTCGAAGCTCTACTCAATAGGACACAAGGGGCGCGAGGCTATTCGAAGAACAAATCGGATTACATCAAGACTTTGATTCCGAAATCGGGTTTGGAAACCATATGGAAGTTGTTAATCGAGTTGGCGAATACTACGACCGCGAACGTGATAATGCAATGGAATCCATACGGAGGAAAAATGAGTGAAATCCCGGCATCAAGCACTCCGTTTCCCCATAGATCAGGGAACTTGTTCTTGGTTCAGTACATTGTTTTCTGGGATGAAGAAGGGCAAAACGTCACTGACCGGAATGTCGATCGAGTTCGATACATGCACGATCGGATGTCTACGTTCGTGTCAAAAGAGCCGAGGGAAGCGTTTCTGAATTATAGAGACAATGACATCGGTAGCACTGCAAGTGATGAGACCAATTTCAGTGATGCTCTGGTCTATGGGAGCAAGTACTTCAAGGATAATTTCCCGAGGTTGACGACGGTCAAAGCTATGGTGGATCCCTCCAATTTCTTCAAGAATGAACAAAGTATTCCTCCAAACATCAACTGACCTCATCCTTGGCCATTGCTTCATTGTATTTCTATTCTTATAATAAATTAATATGTAGGGAGTCATTGTACTCAAGCAAGACTTTATGTTAGGAGGATATATTTCCGTTGATTCTCTCTAACGCTATATATACATGGACGGACATAAAATTTTATGATAAGAGTTGAACTTATAAAATTTTAAAGATAAAACAAGTTTATAAAATTTTAACAGATAAAACAATAATTTCAATAGAAAATAAAAAGTAAAAAATATCTAAAATATATAATAATTTAAAAGTTTTAGAGGAGAGGACGGTCACTTATTCTCATTATTTCATCCCTTAATATATGTGTGAAAACAAAAACCGACATATAATTTTGTTTTTAACCGACAAAAAAAACCAAACAATAATAAATTTAACTATAAAAAACTTTTCTTCATTCAAACTTAATTCATTTACGATTTTACGCATCTCTCACTCCAATTGACTTGAATCCAAATAACTCTGTTAAGAATAATTCAAGCGTCAAACCATAGTACTAAAAAATTTAATTGACAAATTACAGCCTAAATTATATTTTTTCTTGATATTTTAAACTACTTCAGTTAAAAAAGCCAAAAAATATTATTTACCCCAATCATCTAAAAATATTAAATTTATTAAAAACTATGAATCAGTATAAATATGATATGTGATAACTTTAATTAAAACTTATAGTAGTAATAAGAAACTAGAACAAGAAAAATAATTTTATAAAAACTTTTACCGTTTCATTCAGTTTTACTATTTCTTTCGTTTTTCCCTACCATCCTTATCTTGGTTGTTTTAGACAAAATTTGTTATAACTTTTAAAAGTACAATCTAAAACACAATTTAAAATTTAATTATTTGAAATTGCTGTCAAAAAATGAGTTTGAAAACATAAAATATCCATTATAAACACTATTTTTTAAATTTAAAATATAACATTTAAATTATATTTACACTTATATATGAATCATATAAATTTAAACTATAATAAATTCAAAACAATTATTATTATATATGAATTACAATCAATTTAAACTATAATAAAAATATAAAAATAAAAATATAAAATTATAAAATTATAACAACAATATGTTTTATATAAGTCACTATTAATATTTTAATATATAAATCATAAATTTTATTTATTTATATTTAAATAATTAAATTCAATTATTAAAAATTAATACATTATTTTTAAGGATGTTAATATTAAATTATTAAAATAAAACGTAAATACATAATTGAGTGGAGTTCATATATTAGTAAGGATAAAATTATAATTTTCTTCCAAACACAGTTAAAAATGAAAAAGCTAGAAATTCTAGCTTTTGCGGTTGGTTTGAAACCACCATTTTCACCACAATTGTTTTTACCCATTTAGCATTGATTTTACAGTCAAAACGAACATTTTAACTAAAAGTGATTTTAGAAAGCTTTACCAAATGCACCCTTAATCATCTTTTCCCAACAATTTCTCAAAAACTTATTCAAAATTCTCAATAACTATTCAAACCCCCCCTAATCATACATGAAAAAACTGAAAATTAATAGATTCCCAAGTCAGTCCCTCGTCCCCTCAAAACATATCAATAAACACGATTTGTGTCAGCAAGTTGTATGTTATCGATAGATTAAAAGAAATCTGAATAAATATTATTTTATAATCAGCCCAAAATTAATAAAAATATAAAATAATTTATTGGGTAAACTAAACCAATGGTCACTAATGTTTGAGTAAGTTTTCATTTTCCCCCACTAAAGTATCAAAAGTAACAAATTGGTCACTAACGTTATAGATTTGTAACAAAATGGTCACTAATGTTATCGATTTGTAAAAAAAAAAGGTCACTCCATTGTTATTTCTGTTAAATTGATGGTGTGACAATGTTAATAAAAAGTTTAATATTTAGGTTTACTCTTAAACTATTGCTAAAACATCAAATAAGTCCTTAAATTGTAACACCCAAATATTATCCTATCCGAAATCGAGAGGATTAGAATATTACACAAAACCACCTAAGTGGTTAACCATTTTTTTGGAAAACCAAACGTTACATTCATAGTTAAAAAATAAGTATAGTATAAGTCCAAATGTAATAATTTCACAAAATATAAGTTAGGTTTACAACCAGGGGGAGCTCCCATAAGTATGTTCAATTCAAATAAAGTTTACGACTCAAATATTACACAAGGGTCTATGACAATATTTGCCCACTACTATACTCGAGATGTACTCTGAATAAAATCAAATCTGGAAATTCTGAAGCCAGACGACAATCTCTTCGAACTGAAACCTAATAGCTTGTGCACGAAAACATATTCCATAGCTGAACTCACATGCTCAGTTCCATATAAATAACCCTATTATACTACATGCATCAAACATATAAGCATGCGACTAGTATGGTTATGAATATTTGAGTACATTCAACACAAACAAAAGTAAGCATCATGGTGTAGCTCGGGTAACTTATCATCACGAAACTCACACCCTTATTTGCTTACTATAAGAACCTTAGGCGAGATCTAGGTTGCACATCATCAACATCTCCCTATTACCTTAGGCTAGGTCTAGGTCATTTGTAGGGCAAGTCTACTCTTCTAAAGTACTTGGGATGTGGTCGGGTCACTTAGCATCAACACCACGCCCAACTAGCATTTTAAGTGGCTAAGCACTAATTTAGATATTATTCGGATAATCCTAACTCTATCAATCAATTGACATACAAAGTGAATTGTTTGTACGTTGAATGTAGGCACATTAAATGCTAGGCTGTTGGAGCTGACAGACGTACTAAGTAATACGAAAATAGATTTTGCTTGTATTCAAGAGACTAGGTGGAAAGGGGCTCGCGCCAGAGAGTGTAACGGGTACAAGTTGTGGTATTCAGGCGTAGATAACACTAGAAATGAGGTGGGTATCTTGGTATCCTCTAGGCTCAAGGATAATGTAGTTGAAGTTTGTAGATATCGTGATACAATCATGATGATTAAGGTTATTATAGAAGCGGAAGTGGTGAATGTCCTTTCAGTGTACACCCCTCACGTTGGCCTAGGGGAGGGGGAGAAACGTTGCTTCTGAGATTCGTTAGATGATGTACTTAGGAGCATTCCGGAGGACCAAAGAGTTTTCATAGGGGAGACTTCAATGTTCATATAGGTAGTGAAATCGACTGGTATGATGGTGTTCATGGGGGTTTCGGTTTCGGTAGTAGGAACGAGGAGGGGCATACGTTGCTTGAATTTGCTACTGCCTACGATATAGTGGTCACTAACTCCTTGTTTAACAAGAGAGATGTGAACTTGATTACGTTCCATAGCGGGGGACATTATACCCAAATCGACTACATCCTGGTTCGAAATCGGGATCGATGGACTTGCATTGACTGTAAGGTGTTCCCTGAAGAGGCATGTGCATCACAACACAGATTGTTGGTTTTGGTGTTCTGCGTACGCCACAGGTGGAGCATTCATAGGAGGACTAAACTAGGTAAACCTAGGATCCTTTGGAAGAACTTACATGGAGCGACATCTGATGACTTTAGGAGTAAGGTTTTGTCTCATATAGGTTTTGAAACTACAAACTCGAATAATGCAGATTTGTTATGGAAAAATATGGCAAATTCCATCAGAGAGGTGGGAAAAAAACCCTTCGGTTGTTGACAGGGAAGGTCAAGGATCATAAAGAATTGTGGTGGTGGAATGACGAAGTCCAAACTAAGGTGAAGACAAAGCAAACTTGCTTCAAGGAAATTCTACAATACAATGACGACGAAGAAAGATCGAGAGCTAAACAAAGATACAAGGAGGCAAAGCGAGAAGCCAAGAAAACAGTGGCTAAAGCAAAGGATAAGGCATACGAGGAAATGTACAAGAGATTAGACACCAAGGAAGGACAAAACGACATCTTCAGGCTTGTAAAATCCAAGGAGAATAGGAAAAAGGATCTAGGTAGCATTAGGTTTATTAAAGACAATAATGATGTTCTTTTAGTGAAAGAGCATGATATAAAAAGGGTTTGGGTAGTTACTTCTTTGGCTTATTTAATGACGGTGCCTCTTCCTATAGAGATAGTACAGTTGATGGGTCAGCCGACCATCATACTACGACCAATGACTGGCCTACAAGTAGGATTGAGAGTGAGGAAGTCAAAATGGCTCTTAGAAAGATGGGGAGGGACAAAGCTGTCGGTCCAGATCAAATTCCTATCACTGTGTGGCTGGCCCTTGGAGAAGAGGGAGTTAAGTGGTTGACCAACATCTTTAATATTATTTTAGAGTCTGCCAAGATGCATGAGGAGTGGAGAGAGTCTAAGGTGATACCAATCTATAAGAATAAAGAAGATCCCCAACATTGTGGTAACTACAGAGGTATTAAACTACTCAGTCATACCATGAAGATATGGAAATGGTGATAGAGGCTAGGTTGAGACAAGTTACTAGGGTTTCGGAAAACCAATTTGGCTTTATGCCAGGCAGGTTTACTACGGAGGCGATTCATCTACTTCGACGGCTTATGGAGAAATATAGGGAAAAATAGAGATCTTCACATGGCGTTCATTAACCTTGAGAATGCGTATGATAGCGTTCCCCGCTATACGATCTGGAAGACCTTGGAAACGAGACGAATCCCAACTGCTTATATCCGGGCGATTCGTGATATGTACTGTAGATCTACTACATACGTCAGGACTACAGTTGGCGACACCGAGGCATTCCCGGTGGAAATCGGACTCCACCAGGGGTCAGCTCTTAGCCCTTACATCTTCACCTTGATTATGGACAACATCTATTGTGCGACACCAGACGGTGTTCCATGGTGTATGCTTTTCACTGACGACATTGTCCTAGTTATTGAAACAAAAACTGAGTTGAATAGTAGACTGGCTACCTAGAAGATTGCTTTAGAAGAAAAACATCTAAGGATTAATATTGAAAATGTAGAGTATTTATGTTCAAACTTCAGTGGGAACCAAAATGATAAAGATGTATAAGTATGCATCGAAGGACACGTTCTCCCCTCAAAGGATTGTTTCAAGTACCTATGGTCTATGATACATAAAGATGGGGTGTAGATGATGACGTTACACACCGTATAAAGGCGGGATGGCTAAAGTGGAGGGCTGCTACAAGAATTTTGTGTGACAAGAAGGTGCCTCTAAAACTTAAGGGCGTTGCTGTATGGATCAGAATGTTGGGCAATCAAGAAGGATCACGTAAGGATGATAGAGGTCGCATAAATGAGAATGCTACGATGGGCATGTGGTAGGACTCTGTGGGACATGACACCAAACTCTGCAATTAGGATGTCCTTGGGGGTGGTCCCTGTATCCAAAAAATTGAGGGAGGGAAGACTACGGTGGTTTGGGCATGTCCTTAGGCAAAACACGTCGGATGCGGTCAGGAGGGTAGAGTCTATTACAATCAATGGTGCCAGAAGGAGAGGACGACCAAGGAGGAAGTGGGTAGACTGCTTGAGATTTGATTTAAAGGATTTAGCCCTTACCGAAGACATGACCTCTGATAGGAAAGTATGGAGACTTAAGACCATGGTAGCCGAGTAGTGTGGGTCACAACTATAGGGTGTAGCATCTCTGTCTATTTTTTAATGCCTTTGTATTAATTTCCATGACTTCTACTTTTTATAGGTTTCTGTCATTGGAATTTATGAAGGCTTAGAACTAGGGTAGCGAAGTAATGTTGCCTTAGTTATAGGTTTTAACCCATTAGACTTTATTCCTTCTCGTAGCTTGCTATCGATGAATTTTGTGTATCCTTCTCTGCATGTTTCCTCCTTCTAAATTTAGCCGGGACTTACGTTTCTGTCTATATGCAGAGATTTTTAAGCAGTGATTTATGTACAGGGATTAATTTCAATAAAGACGCGCATATAAAGACTGCATATGAAGACTGTTCAACTATATATTTATTTATTTATTTATACATGCATGTAATTTATCTTTATTTTTATTTTTCTGACTGCCAGAGGTGTTCAGCGAAAGCTGCTCTCAACCTGGCGTTGGGGGCAACCTACTACTCTACCTTCCCTTACCTCATTGCATATGGGAATAGGGTTTTGTTATTGTTGTTGTTGTTATTGTTGTCTCACTTCTCTCACTAGAACAAATCAATGGAACGATTTATCAACTCATCTAAGGATTAAGGAAATTTAAGAAGATGATTCTTAAGGTTTGAGAACATTTTAGAGCCACCCACAAGCTCTAAAACACAAAACCCTACTTAAACCTAACCATGGCTAAACTCTAAGGTTTTCAGCTTAATTTGAAGCTCTAAGGAGGAGGATTTTAAATCCTACCTTCATAAATTCGTACTAGGAAGATTGAACCATAAAAATGTTCCCTTTGATAGCTTCAACTTGAGAGAAAATGGAGAAAAAGAAGAATAGGAAAAAGACAAAGAATGATGAAGAAAAAGAGGAAAGTTGCATGCCTACATCATCCTCTTTAATGGGAAATCAACGTTCAAAATAGTTTAGGGTTAATTGCTCTTTTGGTCATTCCTCATTTATCCTAATTTCAAAATTACCATTTTAATCTACAATGGGCAATCCAAGCCCAAATCACTCCATATTTGAACAAGAGCTTCCTGCAAGCCTAATGGGTTTATTTACTCTCTCACTCGGGTTAGCCCGAACTCTACCTCGAAAATCAGGGCGTTACATAAACAATGATTTTGTAGCTAATTTTTCTCAAAAGTTTTCTAATATATAGTTTTTTTTCAACCACCACACCACCAGAACTATATTCGTACCATCTTCCTTATAAAATGAAAACCACACTATATAGAAAAAAGGAGTTTATCCATTAAAGACAAATACATGAGTATTTAAAGCCATATATTCAATTAATTTTTATGTAAAAGATAATGCTTTTAGGATGGTTCTTATTTTGTAAGGAAAGTGGTTAGAATATTTAACGACAAACGAGAGTTTGTTTAAGTGTGGTTTTCATTTTGTAAGAAAAGTGGTTAGAATATAATTGAGATGATGGGGTGTTTAGGAAAACTGGAAATTGGAAAGCTTTTGTGATAAATTAAATATAAAATCATTGTTTAAGGACCTATTTGATGTTTTAGCAATACTTTAGGGGTAAAACAAAATATTAACCTTTTCATGAATGGTACCGCATCATCAATTTAACAAAGATAACGGTGGAGTGGCCATTTGTTACAAATCGATAACGTTTGTGACATTTTGTTACAAATAAAAAATGTTAGTGACTAATTTGATACTTTTGAAACTTCAGTGGGAAAAATGAAAACTTCCTCAAACATTAGTGACCATTGATATAATTTACCCTAATTTATTTTGAAAATTAACAAATACAAAGAAAATAATTAATTTTGAGAAAAACAATTAAAGTGGAGGTGGTTCAATTGCCACTTGGCAAACGTGCCAAATTTCAATCCAAAAGTTCTTTAAGCTTAACGATTTTGTTTCGGATCTCAATTATGGACTAGAATTTAATCCTGATTCGCCTTATTTTGGTCTCACCAGACCATTGAAAAATATTTAAGCATTGGAACTATTTTAATGAAGGTGTAAATCTTTAAAAATCGTTTATGACCATTTAACATTAAATGTTTTAAGTAGTGAGAATTGCAAATCGTTTATGACCAATTGTTGTACTCAAACTCTTCCTCTTCTTTGTTCCTGTCGTCATTCATCGGATATGGTATCAAAGCTACGTCACCTTGTCGGTTAAGGTCCATTCATCATTTTTCTTTGGGGCTTCCTTCTTTTTCTCTGGTCAAGGAAGTTTTGTTCATGGAAGCAGAGATATCGAGTCATCTGGTGTTCCTCTCTCATCAAAACACACAAGGTCTTTCACTAACAAAAAAGTGAATTTGTTGTAACATGGAATAATTTTTTTGATATGGAAATAACACATTTTGCTCACCCTTCACAGTCATCGGTTTGACAAGTTTCTTAATGGCACTGTTAGAGTTCCTCCAGCGGTCATAGTGTTTGATGAAGGATAAACTATTGAGAATGACAATTATATTAAATCAAATATATCTGGTAACCTTCATATAACTTTTTTTTCTGTCGGACGAGACGTTTTACGAAGTGTTAATTAGTAGTAAGTGACTCAAACTATCTAGCAAGTTGTTTCGCTACACAATTGTGATTATATCAACAAACAATATTTTATCAAAGAGAAGATCTGACAATACTTGACCATTGACAAACTAATTAAAAACAAATGTCGCAAGAGTTTATGTGCGAACACCAAAATTACTACAAATGTATGTGAAAAAGCATACCAAAATCCATAAGGCTCGTGCCACATGAGAAGAGAAAACATGTCAAAAAGATAAAGATTCTTATTCAAAATTAAAAAAACTCAAGAGAAAAGAAAAACATAGGACATAATATGAAAAAAAAACAAGAGAACAAATAATTACAAGCGGTTGAAAACCAACATTATGATTGGTTTCGACGCCGGTTAAACAAAAATCAAAGAGGAAGAGGATGAGGAAGACAAAACAAAAATATTGAGAGAAAATATAGGTTAAAAAAGAAGAAGAAAAATCACAAACCTATTTAGTTATATATTTATGAACATGAACATATTTGTTTAATGTTGTGACTTAAACAAACAAAAATGAATACACATAATTTTAAAAATAAATAAAATGTATCTATATAAAAAAATAGACATGTATCTAACTTTAAAATTTTAAACAAACACAAATCAAACAATAATAAATTTAAAAATAAACATAAACAAATATTTATTTCCTCAAATTCAATTTATTTTTTATCTTACAAATCTCATTCAACCATCAAACCCTAATACTAAAAATTAAAAAAAAAAGTTTAATTGAGTGGCGAATTCAAGCGTTTAAAAATGGGAGTCCAAAAAACTTAATACTTATTTTTTTTAATAAAATTGGTATGCATATTTGCTAATTTTCTTCTTTTTCTCTTAATATATTAAACTATATTTAATAACTTATCAAAAATAATATGTATGCACTTTGTCCCCTAAAGATTCAAGTGCATATGCTCCTAGTTTGATTGATAAATTACTCCCAAAGTATACTTTTCTTAATATTAAAACTATTTTATTAATAATAATGAGGCATAAGACATATTACATTAGAGGACATTTAATTGCATATAGTTTAATTTTTATTTTGTTTCCATGCATTGAGGATATTGCATCCTTCAAGTTTGGGGGAGGTAACGTTAATAGTTGTCATATGTATTCATAATAGTTAATAGCTTTTGCTATAGTATTTTTTTATGACTTTGAGACAGTTAATTAGTGGAATAATTTGATGATATCTGATGATGAAAAAATATTTTTTATGGCTATTTTGAACTGAATGTACAAGACTGTTGAGATGGATAGGATTTATTCTATGACTTGGTTGTTTGTGCTTTAACTGATTCACGATTGTATGCTCTCTATGCTTAGGAATGTTAGATTTTTTATGAAAAAAAAACGATTGAATGCCTTAGCATAACTTGATGGTGAATGAACGTAAATGCCTAATTTAAACTCCTATGTGCAGCTAAATGTGTTAATTGCGAATAAATGCTTCGACATAACCGTAGAGGAACACTCCTATTTGCTATAGCAGTGCCTAGAAACCCCCTTGAATAAATGGTAGCTATAGCATATGAGTGAATGAAAGTAGTCACGTGATGACTTTGCTCAATAGGCTAGGCAATGGGGTGTTTTTTCCACTTCATTATCAAGACTAGGAAAGTAGTTCTGATAGGTTGACTCCCCTAGTAACAGTGAAAAAAATAAATTAAAATTAAATCTTAAGGAAATGGGAGTAATTTATTAATGCTTAAAGGTTGAATATATGCTATGGTAGAATAGTGAACTTCCTTAGAACTTTTCTAACTTTACCAAGCATAGATTGGATACAATTACGCACACACATGCAAAAGACCTTGTCCTATGGTAATATTCTTAAAATCTTCACTTGTCTAGCATGTTGAAGCCAATACATTTATGAGGGCTGAAATTTAAACCATGCAACTGTCTTGATCTAAAATTTTCTATAGCATTCTTTTGTTGATTATTATTCATTTCTTGAGGACAAACAATAACTTAAGTTTGAGAGTGTGATAACCCCGTAAAAAAGGTTATATTCTGTGCCTTTTTGTTTAGGTTATTTATTGTCTTAAGGCACATTTAGGTACATATAGATGCATTTAGGATCATATAGTTGCATGTGGTAGAGTTGTATTATTGCAATGTTTTATTTTGTGAATTGGAGTTGGTTAATGGGAAAGGTTGTGTTTTGTTGATGATGTGCAGGTGATTAAAGCAAAATGAGAGTAAGGAGATTCGTTGTAGCATATTGAGCGAGGAAGCATTGAAAGAATGTTGTAGCATTGTGGACAACATTTCTAGGCATAAAAAAGGACAAAAGAGCTGAAGATATTTTTATGAATGAGCCAGTTGTCTAGCCTGCACGTGATCCCTTCTGCCAGTTGCCCATACGAGGACCACTGCCAACCTTGCATACCCCTTCACGTGAAGGGAACGATACCTAGGGTACAAAGGGAATTTTGGCACAAAACCTTAGGACATTCCTTAGTATAATTAGATAAGGATGTCCTACAATTAAAGGAGAGTCATTTTGAGAAAAGGGTGAGATAAGCAAGAGAGAAAGACGGCTACAAAAAGCTTTCATTTTTCTTCCCTTTTCATATTCTTTTGTGGTGTCCTCCATAGCCAGGCTTCAACGGGATAGCAAGCTAGGCCTTTGAGGGAAGCTAGCTTGCTAAGGTGGTTCATGGTGGTCTAAGGAAGCTCACAGCAACTCACATGTTTGGGAGGTCCCTCTTACCTTTTTGTTTTCATTTCATTTTATTTGTGGGTTTGTAATGGAACAAATTGTTATTTTGGATGATTTATACCCCATCATGAAGTAACCTTATTTGGTGTGGGTTTAATTTAGATGATTAAGTGTTTGTGGAAATGAATGGTTTATATTTTTATGTTATATATTTGTTTTGCTAATTGTATTTGTTTACTTAGGATTATAAGAGCTTAAGAGAGTAGCCTTTTCCTAAGTGTGATACCTAATATTCGAGAGAGTTAGGTGAGATCAACGTGAGCAATGAGGCCTAGCTAATTACAAAGCCCTAATCCACTTTAGAGATAAGGAGAGGATTTCAACGATTAAAAGGAGTAGTACTTAGTCGATAGTATTTTTCTATAATTTACGTTGAAAGGTATTGTCGTAGTATTTTCACTATCAATTTTCTTACTAGAAATAGCCTATGAACACTTTTAGCAAACTCTGTCGAGCAGTATATGCATGAAAAGCTTGAACCATTCCAGAAGACAAGTCTTAGGATTCCTTAGTGACCCTACTAATTATCCTCATTGTTGCTTGATTGTGTGAGGTTGTTAGATTATCTTATTCATTTCTAGATTCACAATTTAATTTGCCTTAGCATTCTTGACTTGTTACTCTATTATTGCCACAAGATTTCACACTCTATACTTGTCACATTACCATAGCATTCCATTTTCACACATTTAATTTTGCCACAACATTCCATCAAATTTTAATATCACCATATATTTATTCATAGTTAATTATAATTAAGTGTAAAAGTTAACTTGAAGTTCCTCCAATCTATGTGGAGATGATACTCACTCACTACTATATTAATTGTTTGATTGTATATACTTGTACATTTTTACGTGTCATATTATAGTACACTCACACACGCAACATAGCCATGTTTTCAAAATCAATAGCATGGAAGGGGACAAACGAATAAAAACTCAGAAAAAATTTAACAATTTTAAATAGAAAAAAAATCACTTTAACGCCCCCTCTTTTCCTGCAATTCCACATCAACTAAACAAACTCGGACCGCAAAATAACTTATAATTTCCGAAACCAAATCCTCTGGCCTGGGGTAAGTCCACACAATTGCCATCGGTGCTTTCAAGGCAGACCCAGACTCTGATTCGGCTCCCTTCTCCAAAAATTCAATCGTGGATTTAGACCTACAAACATCGTTTGAATCAGAACAAAAGCGAACCCTGAAGAGCGAATTCCTAGGCTTCCTGCTTGATTTGGAGGCTGGGAGCTGTAGCTGTGAGGCAGTAGACGCGAGAGGATGTGGAGGATAGAAGCTTCAGCGTTGTTTAAAAGAGAGGGACAAAAAGAAGCTAACGTCGAGAGCGAGCCATGATTAGCAGAAGCGATGGTTAAATGATTTTTTTAATGAATTTGTTTAATGCTAACCATAAGTTGAATTTAGTGATATTTTGAAAAAAGAAATAATCAGATTATCAAAATTAAATCGTGAGAATAATTGAGTGACCAAAGATGTAATTTACTCTAATTTTTTAATGGGATTTAACGAATTGGGACAAATAATGTAATGATTTAAACTTTAGGAGCAAAATATCAAAAAAAAAATTTTAAGGGACAACTCGATACAAATGACATACATTAAGGGGTAATGATTTATTTAATTTTTTATATTATTATTTTCTCAAATAAAAATTACTGTCAAAGGGAGCAATATATGAAGTTCCACTTCCTCACTTCGGTGTACAAAATCTAGAAAATTGTATTAATTTTGACGACAACATCTACTCTCGAGATTACAATAATTCAAACGGAATTATTTAGGAAAGAATTACTTCTACCATAGTACAATATCCATTTTTTTATACAATTTGATTATTGCTTATTAGTGAATACTAATGTTTTCGTTTTACAACAATTTATTTTCTTAGTGTTGATAGTACATGCTTAGACCAGCGCTGTTGTATATATCAGAATGTTGAGCAATCAAGAAGGATCACGTAAGGAGGATGTAGGCCGCAGAAATGAGAATGCTTCGATGGGCATGTGGTAAGACTCTGTGGGACAGGACACCAAACTCTGCTATTAGGATGTCATTGGGGGTGGTGTCTGTATCCGAAAAATTGAGGGAGGGAAGACTACGGTGGTTTTGGCATGTCCTTAGGCGACAACCATCGGATGCGATCAAGAGGGTAGAGTCGATTACAGTCGACGGTGCCAGAAAGAGAGGACGACCAAGGCGGAAGTGGGAAGACTGCTTGAGATCTGATTTGAAGGATTTAGCCGTTACCGAGGACATGACCTCTAATTGGAAATTATGGAGACTTAAGACCAGGGCGATTTAACTAAACTGACACCGTTTAACTGAATATCTCCCTTTTTAGCACCATTTGATCTATATTTCCCGAAGTGGCACCCTTTCGGCTGAGGTGGCGAAAGGCGCATCCCCGGGGACGCGCTTTACCTGATTTTACGCTGAGTTGGATGCCACGTGAGGCGCATCCCCAGGGACGCACCTTCACGGGGTTTTGCTGATTCAGTTGCCACGGTGGTATTTTTTTTAATAATAAAAATTTTATTTTTATTGTTATTATAAATTAGTAATATATTATGTAAATTGTTTCGGTTATAATTTAATAATTATCGAATGTATTTTTTTAATGTGTGTTAAAGGTGGAGTGTATTATCCACATTAATCGGATAGAACAATAGATGAAAACTAGTTTTTATTTTATTGTAGTTATATGAAAAATGTATAAAATTATTATATTACACGTATGGTTATATTATTATTTTTTATTTTGATTATCGATCTATTAATTTTATCACTTAATTATTTAAATATTATCAATCTAGTCATCTGTTATTATTATTTAACCAAAATATTGATGCATAAGTTAATAAAATTAGTATAATTACACATTTAATATGTTATTATTATACATTGAGAAATTATAGAAAATGCAATTACATTTAAATATTAGAAACAAAAACATTCATTTAAATAGAATATTAGGTTACATAAGGGTTAACGGTTATGTGATGATAATAGAGCTGGACATTTTTTCTATTGTGTCCGATGTTTCTACAATGCCCACATCGTTTTTGTTTTGTTGACTTCTCCCGAATATCCATATCACAATGTATTCTAGTAGATTTTGGACGACCTGAGTCCCTCAATAGCAATGGATCTGGTACAATTGTAAGCCAAGTTTGAATCTCAAATTCATATACCTTGAATACTTGTGAAAGTTAGTATACGGCATCAACATAATTTTTGTAGTCCAAATGCGAATGTGAGCAAGCTGCAATGACATGAGAGCGTGGATATTTGAGTGCTTGAAAGAAACTACAATCGCACCACCTCTCATGCAGATTAACTCTGAAAGAGTTAACTTCAATCCATTGCAACGGACGTGGCATTTCAGTTACACGAAATAATTCATGGGTGCGAGAAAAATTTGTAACCAACATCCCATTTGATGCAGCCACTTTTTTCTGTAAATCAGCTACTAGTCTTGGGTGGTAAATATGACCGTTTTGCATCCAAGTAAGAGCTTGTCTACCGAGCTTTGCAAAGAGTTGACCCAAACGAAAATAAGTCATTTTGACCAATGCCGTGACTGGTAAATGGTGCGTCCCCTTTAAGGTTGAATTTATTGCTTCAGCCAAGTTTGTTGTCATATGACCATAGCGATACCCCCCGTCATACGCATTTGTCCACATTTCTTTGCTGATGTCTATAATGTACTCTCACCTTTTCTTATTTTTTCCAAACAACTCTTGTAGCATCAACTCAAACCTTTGAGTTAAGAGTTCGTAACCTAAGCCATTAGGAATATGTAATAGTTAATATGAAGTATAAATAAGTAATACGAAAATGATAGAAAAATTGGGGAAAAGTAACATACCCATCAACACGACTAATTGACGTTCATCGTTCTTCTTGTGTTTTCCGTAATAGTTTGCAGCAATATGACAGACACAATAACGATGTTGAACATGTGGAGGTCTAAACATTGTACCCAAAGAGTCTATTGCTGCTTTTATCCCGGCTCCTCGGTTTGAAATAATGCATACTCGTTCCCTGGTGACAACATGTAAACGTAAATTTTTAAGGAAAAAAACCCAAGACTCAGTGTC